AAAAATTAAAAAAAAAAAAAAAGTAACTTAGGTGGGTAGGTTCTTGCTTGATCACAGTCAAGAAAAAACAGAACACAAGCAAGAAAACCACACTAAGTTACATATACATTCACGTATGAAGACAAAAAGAATCATTTCTTGCCAAAAAGGGGAAAAAAATGATTCAAAGAGGGAAACTAAATGCCTATCCTTTCAGGTACCTCACAGAAGGAAAATCAGAATATCATTAAGCCGGAATGCCTGGAAATGACATCCTCGTGATGTCTTTCTGAAACCAGACTGAAGCTTATGAAACAGACAGTATATAAGGGAAACCACATTTTAACCACAGACTCACAGAGGAGTATTAAATATGAGACTTATTATTTTAATTGTTAATGCTTAAAGAACAGATTATGCCCTTTCTTAAAAGCAAAGGAAGAAAAGCAGGAACTCTTCCTATAATAAGTATAATCCATGAAAATTGTAGTTCTGAGTCAGCAAAGAATGATCAAGGAAAAGAGATAGTTTCTCTCCCTTATGTCCTTTACTGGAAAATTTAATTATGTAAAATAAGGACAATATGCTAAAAAGAAATCTAAAGAAAAGACAACAAAACTGAAACTTCAAGTAAAGCAAAATACTGAATGAGTACATGCTTTGAAAGAAAAAAAAAGAATGCTTCTTCCAAACATTACTGAAAACTTACCTTCTAATACAGGAAAAACTTCAGCTATTGAGCCTAAAATGGTTAAAGCAGAAAATCTAGTCGAGTAGGAAGATCCAGGAAACAGTGCTTCAAAAAGACTGTTGCAAGTGGATGACATGAAATTCTAAAAAAAATTCACAGCAGGTATCACTGAGTTAACTCACAACAGGTTCTCTCCAGAGCATCGCTCCCAAGAGTGGGTGCTTCTGTTAATTTTAAATTGAGAATAAGATTTTTTTTAATAATACTGGTTATTCCATGTGATAATTCATCTTGGCACTGTTATGGTTTGGATATGGTTTCAGCCCCAATGGTTCATGTGCTTCAAGCCAGACGCGTAGTGTGGCAGGGTTGAGATGGTGGGACCTTTCAGACACAGGGCCTAGTGGAAGGTGACAAGGTCAGGAGGCTCCACCTTGTGGGAGTAGCGAGTTCATAATGAGTTGCTATAATGCAAGTTCCACTTTCTAGAATGCTCACTTGCTTTTACATCCACACACATGCTCCTTCCACCTGCATCCACTTTTCTATCAAGTTGTGACACAACCAGGGGGTCCTCGCCAAGATGTTTGTACTATGCTGTTGGGATTTTACAGCCATCCACCTCTTTTCTCCATAAATCTCTTTTTCCAAAATACCAGGTTTGTTATAGCAACACAAAAAGACTAAGACAAGACCCTTGACCATACACAGTATATCACAACTTTAATGAACCATATCTTTGTAGAGTTAGCAAGAAATATAATTTCTATTTTAGCTTAGACAAGGAAAAAAACCATATTTTTTAGGAAAACAAGATACAGTCTGTGCCTGATTTGTAGGAGAGCTGTATGATGCTGGTTTTCCTAACCAAAGGCATTCAGGCATCAAAGGTATGAATACATTTTAATGTTTTAAAATGAACAAAGAGCCAGATGTGGGGATGCATGCCTGTTATCCCACCACTCAGGAGGCTGAGGCAGGAGGATTACCACAAGTTCAAGGCCAGCCTGCACTACAAAGTGAGACCCTGCCTCAAAAAAACAAAACAAAAATGCAAGATAGCTACATTTAGTTTGCTGCTGGGCATACAACCTCCAGTATTTATCCTTTATCCTGAGTTTATTCATTCTGTTGGGTTTCAAAGGAACAGGGTGCTTACCAAAACTTGCCCTAAACTAGTCTTAAGTAAAACAGCATTCACATTAAACCATAAGAAACTTATCCTTTAGGAATGATCTTAATTGTATCATCAGTTATATTTTGAGACACAGTTCTCCATTCTGTAATTCAGACTGTAACCATAACAGAGATCACATTTATACATTAGGCTCACGACAGCTGAGAACATCATCCTGTACATTCAGCCTGAGTTCAACATATGCCCTAGTCACTTCTCATACTTTCCAATGAGGGTTCCTTAAAACAACCATTTAGATTTTGGAGTGAAGAGCACACCTAGATTTGGAACCTGGCCCTACCACTTACAAGCTGAGGAACCCTGAAGAGGTTACTGACTTTTACTAAGCTTCACTGTTCTCACTTGTTAAGTGGGGACAATAATGCTTACCCCACAGCATTTTCATAACAATTAAATAAGAACATGGATATAAAGCATTTTATACATTGAAAACTACTCTAATTACTAATACAGTATTAGTTAGGGATGAAGACATCTTTTTCAACTAAAAGCCTCTTTTGCTTCTCCAGCACTTAGTCTGCTGGTTGGCACTGGGCCTACCACACAGAGTGTACAGCACCCACTATCATGAGGATGAGGATGATGACAACACAGCACTGAGGTCAAACTCCAAAAGCAACAGTGACCACCAGTGGGGAGAAAAGATCATAACTACAAAACTGACTCAGATTAAGTCTCAGAGGACTCATGTTTGAAAAACGGACATTCGAAAACCAAACAACAAAAAACACATACATGAAAATTTAGAATTTCAGTCCCCAAAAGTTTGTCTTTCTATGTACCTAGGATCACAAACATCATGGTACGTCCTTTGCAAAAGAAACAAAAGACATGTTTTAAAAATCTAGCACCGATCTAAGAGAGGTAAACAAAGAATTGTCACAACAACACAGCAGCACTGGCTTAATATACACTCTAAGTCACTTTTAATGCTCCCAGTGAGGCTTTTTGGTATGACTTATCATTTACAAGGAGCTTGTAAATTCCTCCTTGAGAGGAATTACTAACCTCACATAAAGTGGAGGAGACTAAGTAAACCAACCGGTAAGTGGCAGAATTGGGAATAATCCTACGTCCTTAAAGTTCAGGGTGTGTCTTTCTAATCTTCACTGTTGGGATTTTAAAATGATGAAGCTTCAGTCTTTGTATAGTAGTAACAGTCTTCATTAGAAAGTGTTTTGCCTTTTTATGTGGGGATAATGGTGCATGCCTACAATCTCAGCACACTGGGAGGCTGAAGCCAATGTGGATTATAAGTTTCAGCCCAGAAGAAGTTAGGCATGTAGGTGGGTGTAAAGGCCCTGAATTCAATACCCAATACTGTCTTCCAAAAAAAGTGTTTTTATCTTTTAAATACAAAAATTGAAAATCGGGATCTTCCATACTAATGTTCAGAGTAGGTATTAAGTATGTCATAGTTCAAATGTCTCATTAATTTATTGTATCTGTTTTCCTAAATAAACTAAAACAGATGAGCTGTTTTCTACCTGGGTCTCAGAAGAAAATAAGGTTCTATTTCTGAGAAGCTAGATCTGAATAAGAAACCAGTGAAAAGCTCATTTTGTCCTTCTGAAAAGAAACTAAAGATTGTCAAACTGTGTCCTGGTCCAGATGGGAGCCACTGTACTTGGAGCTCCATCCACTCTATTAACACAGTGCCCTGGAACCCAGCCCAACTCTTCATGGGCACACCAAACAGACAAACACAACCCCTCTCCATAGCTGAATTGCAGACCAGGGGTCACTAACATCAAGCCATTGTAAATTAGGTACATCTAACGGGGAAGTACGCCCAGCCACAGTAGAGCCTTTTATTCTGGAGAGCAGTAGATGAGTCCAGAGCCAGCCATGACATACCTGTTTGTTAAAGTACTAAACACATGTGGTCCACACAAGCTTTAAATCATGAAAGTGGGCCCATTAATGTCATTCTGTAACAGTCCTTAGGAGTGGAGTACCAAATCCCAAGAGGTTTATGTAACACCCAGATTGAAGTAAAATAGCACAGAAACATGCTTCACCAAGAGATTTCCATTTATTTCCCTCTAATGCATATTTATATGCGTTGCATATTCATATTCACATCCCATTCATAATTGTTTTAGATTTCATAAAGCTCTGTATATCTAGAATCTATCACCTACCTTATATTGCTGTAAAGAAACAGAAGGCTGCTCTTTGGTTAACCCATTCTCTGGTTCATGTTTGGATTTACCGTGCTCCACTTTATAAAGTACCTGAGAACTTTCTTGTATTCTACAAAACAACTTTTGAGACAAAAACAAAGCATAGGTAAGCCAAACATTAAACTTAGATGCCACCATAAAAGGGAAATTTTAAGGCAAGGAGAGTACTGGCTCTTAAACACTTAAAATCTACTATGTTAATTTTCTGAGAGAAACTGACATTTATATTTTTAAAACCAACCAGTATCATGCAACTAGAATACGGTCATTAACCACAGTTCTTCCATTTCCTTTAAGGTGGCCTCAACCTAAAGATGAAATACTCATTTCTGTACCAATTATTCACCTCAGAAATGTGTTGTGACTAATTCAAGTCGAATTATTCAAAAGTGACCATTTTATAAGGTGCTTAAAAGAAAACCTATAAAAATGCAAGAGCATCCTTCCTCCTCCTACCAAAGTTTTCTTAAACCCACCTTACACCCCAGTGCTAGACTATTTTCTTTTTTTGAAAAAAAAAAGAAAGAGCTCAAAGTTAATTTGCTAAACCAAAATGAAAAGACTTTTCACTCTGGAATGCAAGCTTCACTCTCAAATGTAAGCTTTACAAAATCATAGAGCAGGTCACAGAAGGGCCACGAAGAGATGTGATTGCCCAATTCATGACCATTCCCACCCTCTCCCAAAATCTGAGCTCTTTTTCAAAATGATTTCCAGAGCAAAGTTCACCATTTTCCAATACTTTCTGATGCCAAATTCTACCTTTTTGAGAAGAGAACAGATCTGCTGCCGTACTCCTGGAGACTGGCTATTAAGATTGTACATGATGAAGAACTGAATCCACTGCATTTCTTCTGCAGAAACAATTTCTGTGCTTCGACTGCTTTCACAAAGCAAGCCTAATGTATCTATCCGTACCTGATCAAATACATCAAGCAATAAAATGTTCATTTGCCAATCAAATAAGTAAAGCTTTAGCCAATTGAAACGTCTAATTATTTACACAGACTACCAAAAGTAAGCTTTAGTTTACCCATGTGCACTTGAGAAAGGTTTCCTAATCCCAAAGGTCTGGTAGTTATTTCCAATAAAGTTATTTTACTACATGTATAAATTAAGGCTTTATAAAAATAAACAATCTGAGCTCATATTCCACGGAATGCTCAGTCAGCCTCATTCCCTTCCCTCTTTTTCCTCAGTGACACATTACCTCAGGTGCCTCATCTCACTCTCACATGACTGCCAGGTACTTCTAACTGGTCTCCTGGTTTGTTTTTGCTCCTACTTTGTAAACTCATCACCGTTGCCATTAATGTGACTTTCTTGCCCAAGAGTGGCTCTGGTTGAATGGTTTCTTTCAACTGATGACTGGGAACCAGAAGTCATCAGCCTAGCACTGGTACAGTGTGTAAAATATATCAAACACTTCTCTCCTGCCAGCAAATGGCCTTAATCATTGTCCAGACCTTGTATGTCTGTCCTCCTCCAACACTCCAGGTCCCTAATAACCACCACCTACTCTGATCAGCTTCTTCTTGGCCTTCCAGGGAAGTCCTTGTGCATAACGGCACTTTGCCATCTGTGCTTTCTTCTCAGAGTTCTCAGGTGCTTTATGCAAGTTTGCTCATCCCCTCAATAAACATTAAGAAGCCTGAGTATAAGAATGATACTTTTCACTTCCTATGCAACTTCATTAAGAACTTATCCCCAAAATGGCACTAGGCACAAGTGGGAGCCTACCTACAGAACCATTAAATGAATGAACAAATTAGGGACCTGCTACAGTGTACAAATACCCGCTATTGTATTTCCTTACTTGGCAATGCTGATGAATTAACCCTTGCTTTATCCTTGCACTGGACACAAGGTTCTCCCAGGTATCGGTTGCAGACTGAAGATGTCCATGAGCTCTGGCTGTTCGCAGACAAGCCATCAAAGCTCCCAGAGCCCCTCTGCTGCCACAGGACCCTAAGGACGAAGACTGCTCTTGTCTCAAAAGCACAATAACAAAGACCATTACTGTGCTATGCAACTACTACAGTTCTCAGTGCCCATTAACATTAGTGGTCCAATTAACATATTTTAAGAAAAAAAATCATTTTAAATTTTATCTAACATGAATTAAAGTTCCCATCCTAGAGTAATCGGCATTTAAAATTGTTTTTGTGTCAATAATTTTAAGTAAACATAATTCTCATACTGTTAACATAAAGAAATCCTAACTTATTTGCTAATATTTTTAACTTTTCCTTAACACTTAGAAAGTGAACCAGGAAGTACAGTAAGTCAGGGGTCAAAAAAATCAAGAGAAGTATTAAAAATAACAATACAAAAATTAAAATGAATTTCTGGCAAGAATAAGAAAAACACTTCAGTGACTAAAGACTATTATTTCTCTAAAAATAAACACTGACCCCCTCTATATTTTTGGAGCAACTTTTCTGACTAGTAAAGAAATGAAGTAGGATCACAAAGAACTGCTGGTTTCAGGGACAGGATATCAGCCATTACTAAAGAGGCAGAAGCTCTGGTTCACAGGGTACCTTGATGTAAAAAGACAATTTTCCTTTAGAAAGAATCCTCAATTTTAGATGGTTTCTGAAAAAGTCAAGAACAATTATTTAAAATTACAAATAATGGAAGCTGGACATGGTGGCCCATGCCTACAGTCTCAGTTACTCATACGGCTGAGGCAGGAGGATCACTTGAGCCCAGGAGTTCAAGCCCAGCCTGAGCAACACAGCAAGACTCCACCTCAAAAAAAAAAAAAAAATTTTTTTTTTTGTATAGAGAACGTTTTCCTATCACCTTATGGTTACTCTTTGATGTACTAAAGAGTTTTAGTCATTTAAACTGAAAATATTTCTTAAATTGTGCTAAAGGATACCATATCCTTGCATTGTTAAACAATATAATTTGAAGATTCACGAGGGATTAGAATGATCATTTTCCATATTAATCACTGAGTTATGCTTTAATGCAGTGATTCTTCCTTCAGGGTAACTGAGTTTCAATGGAATGTTTACCCCTATTCTAAATAACTACAGATAACTCTTCCTCAAAGATAAAAAATTGCTACTGCCAATGTACTGGTCTTTAAATTTGCCTAAAACAATTTTTAATTACTGCCTTAATCACTTGAATAAGCAAATTATATAAGCAAAGCACACACTTTTACTCCAGTCTGACAATAAAATAAATTAACAATGATAAAATTAATTAAAACCTTGAAATAAAGAAAGACTTACCTGGTTTCCTTAATGAGAATCATTCCTTAAATTTCAAAAATGACTTCAAGCAAAAAAATTCTATTCGGCTATGTACAGGAACATTTGTTTCAAAGTGAAATAGCTATCATTAATATCTTCCTTTACCATTTACAGAAGTGATAATATTTAAATTTGAATGATTCATATCTGCCTAGGTGCCTACATTTAAGCATTATAACTAGAAATTACTAAAATAAAAATTAATTTTTCTTACCAGTTTTAGCATCAATAGAAGTCTGAAGAATCTTTACCATGTACCTTAAGCTTTCAGGGCTGTAATTCAATAATTTTGGCAAGTAATAATCAATCACATAAGATTTTTGATCCAAGTTTCCTTCACACAGTATATGAAGGAGAGGAGAAACCCAAGTCTCATGCCACTGGTCAATCCAAGTGATGTCAGCAGTCTGGGCTTTCAAATGATTCTTATGGTTTTTAAACATGGTTTCTAAGAGGTCACTTGCATAAGGTACTAACGACTGGTCCCCCATCACCTCTAAGATTTGAGATGGAATAGTATTATCTATTGCCAAAATATGTTCAATTCCTATGCATTCTACCAAACAGCCAAGGCATGCGTACTTTCCTTTAATATGCCATTCCAATCGCAGAAGACTTTTAGTCAATCCCAAAAAGAAAGGATCAGTGACCAAATGTGCCCCTTGCATAGTGAGCCGGTGTATTTGGAGAAGATTTCTGAATATGATTTTGGTTTGGTGTCTAAGAGCATCCAACGGATGTTCCCAGTGGGTATAGACATATTCCAAAAGTCTCCCGACTATGCTTGAATTCCCATTCAGACTGTCCTTCAGGCTTGGGGAACTTGATTCAAGGATATGTATGGCTGAATTCGTCCATGATGCCAAGATTCTAGACAGAAACATTTCCAGTGTTGATTCCTTAATCCTAAAGAAAAATGAACCAGGACCCTTATTTTTGTAACCTGACTACTAAAAGAAATTTCATTTTATGATCAGATATTAGAAATATTAAATGCAAAGAATGAACAGAATATGCAATTATTACTAACTTTATAACAAAAAATTACAAACAAAGCCAAAATAGACCTCAAATTTGTATATGAATCTTTTCACTTTGTAAAATATAATTCAAATGGGGGGGGTGAATGAAATAGTCACTATCTTCACCGTAACAATGGTTGTTTCACAAGTGTTTCTAAACATACTGAGGTGCAAGGTTGAGGAAGAAAGGAAACTTTTTTTTTTAGAATGATGAAAATATCCACAAAGTTGATTAAGACAATGGTTAAGAAACTCTGGGAACATACTAAAAATACAAAAACTTGAACTGCATATTTTAAACATGAAATGGACAGTATATAAAGTATAGCTGCAACATGTAAAAAGTTATTTTAGAACACTAGGTTTTGGGCCAGAGATTTAGTTCAGTGGTTCCGCTGCCTGCCTTGCACGCTCAAGGTCCCAAGCTCAATTCCTGATACCAAAAAAAAAACCACTAGGTTTTTTTTTACTATAATTGTAGTCCTCATTATTAGCAATCTAACTATGGTTTGACATTTTAAGCACATAATCACTTTCAGCCCTTATGGCAAAAACACCAAAGAAACACAGAATACAGCCCTGTGAAGGCAGAAGACCTTATCATAATTGTTGGCTCAGGTTTTTATCAGAAATAAGCTCATAGGTAAGCATTTACTTTTCTAAACTTCATTTTACCCATTCCACCAATTAGATTTCTTATCCATCTACCCACATGTCAAGATCATATACTATGTTGAAGTTCTTCATAAATTCTAAAGTACTATACAAGAAATTTTTTGAGACAAGGTCTCATTATGTAGCCCAGGCTGGTCTTGAACTCACAGCAATTCTCCTCCTGCCTCAGCTTCTCGAGTACTGGAATTATAGGTATGTGCCATCATGCCTGGCTGCCAATACAGAAATTTTTCATTTTGCTTTGCTTGTTAGTTTTTGGTGGTAGGGATTGAACCTAGGGCCATGTGCTTGACCACTGAGGTACATACCTCACCCCAGGTTTTCACAGCTTTAAAAAAATCTATCTAAAGACTGATAGTTAAAATTAATTTTCGAAATGTTCATTGCAGGTTAACCTGCACTAATAATTTCTATAACTCTCCCTTCCTTCATCCTATATTCTCTTTCACACTTCTTTTGATCCCTACACATATATTACTTTTAATTAAGATTTATCCTAATCACTTCTTATTGAATTACTAAGTATGTTGGCTCAGCTGGATCTTTTAAATGTCTTCCAAGCAAAACAAAAGACAGCAAAATCACAACTCACTGTGAACTCAAGGTGAACAAAACATGCACAGTATCCAAGAGCAGGGCCTCCCCACTCGGGCCCATGCCACCATTCTGCCAGTCCAACATCGCAAGTGTCCCCTGACACAGGAATAAGAGAGCTGACCCAGGGAGGTCAGCACAACAAAGGCTCCTGCAGCTGCTCATTAACCACTCAGGGACCCTGGTGCAGTCCACTGAATGGAGAAGTAAACTGCTAATCTGAAATACAATGGATATAAAGTCTTTCAAACTTCAAGAGATATTTCAAAATATAAATCCAAAAATCTCTTTCCCCTGAAATAGTCTAGGAAAAATAATGGTAAAGCAGCCACAACTATAAAATTATATTAATATTAAATTAATATTAAAATATTGATATTAAATGTTTATATTAATATTGAAATGTTATAAGAGAAAATAATTAAATCCAAGTATATAAATTTTTTGCTGGTTTGAAAGTACTGGTGGTAAAGCACAACATATCACTACCTGTAGGTGGATGAGCTTACTGCTTTTAGAGGTGATTTGAGAAAAATTTTCAATTTTATCCATTTACTTTGTGTGAACTCACAGAATAGTACACATATATTTGTACAGTGTTACAACAGTAAAAGGATAAGTTTCCAGATAATTCATTAAGTAGAAAAAAATTTCTAGTAGTAAATACAAACATTATGATCTAAATCGTCAAATTATATTTTCTATGTTACTCAAATTCACTAAAAAACTAAAGCCACCAATGCTTCCTATCCTAAAGCATATGATTTGGGTTATTATTACTAAAAAGAATATATTTATCAGAAAGTTATTACCATCTATATATCTATACATAAATCTCTGCATAATTTTAGTATTACAAGTATTTTTTATGACACTGAGAAATGGAACTAAACAATACTACAAAAAACTAGAAGGATATGCACCCAAGATGTTGATAGTAATTATCTTTATCAGATAGACTTTCAAGTGATTATTACTGTCTTTCTTTTTTGGAATTATCTTTATAAGAGAAAAATCATCAAAAAGATCCACTGTAAAAAAAATGTTTTAATTCACTTTAAAAACATTTTTTACCTAGGGTTCAATCAGCAACACAGAAAAAACAAATTTTTAAACATACATCTAATTCTCAATAAAGTATAATTCTAAAGAAGAGATATACTTACCAACTCAGGAATATTTTCAGATGGCTGAAACATAGTCTTAACAAAAAGAATAACAGCTAATCCGGATGTACTCTGAATTGTCTGTAATAGGTCACCTATTTGGCAAAAAAGCAGAAAGTATGTGTTAAAGCACAGATGCTCCCATACAGTGAAAAAAGTAAATGCTCTGGGGTCAGAGTCCTGTGTACAGTTTCCAGCTTGACCCCTTCCTAGCTGAGTAGGTCTGAGACATGTTATTAACCTCCCAGAATATCCAAAGTGAGAAAACGTAACTCCTATCTGACAAATTGTAAGACTTAAAAGAACAATGAACATGAAAGCCTTTAAGCCCAGCATATAGATATTAAATAAATGTGATCCTTTCCTCTCTCCTCCCTCATCCACTCTCTTCCTCTCCATCAACAGCCTCTCAATACACCTACTGGCAACACCACCTGTTCTCTCCCCTCCACTGATGCCTCTGCATCCCAACTCACAGTCGTATACTTTTTCTTAGAGATTTCACAACCTATGTAAAGAACATACATCAGTGTTAATTACAAACTGCTATCACTGCCACTGTACTCAAAGCTAACAATTTTGACTGGATAGCTTCTTTTTGTCTATCTCTATTAGCATCTGATAATATGGTGATTTATTCAAGCTGGACTAAGAAGTATGACAGATCCCATGAATTATCTACTAAAAATATATTCAGCCCTTCATCTCTGATAACAAAATTGACTATTGGGCAGTCACATGCCAAAAGCAAGATACCTGCTTCCTCAATCTTCTTTGCAATTAAAGGTAGTCATGTGATAGGGGTCAGGCCAGCCAATGTACCTCTGTCTTTCCCAATTAAAAGTAAAGAACAGAGACATGATGTTTGGAGCTACATATAGGAAACATGAGGCAACAAACACAAAAGGTTGATCCCAGCCTAGGCAACTGAGCTAGACTGTCAAGATATGAGATAAAAAGGGCTAGGGATGTAGGTCAATGTGAAGGCCTTAGATTCAATCCCTAGTACCAAAAAAAAAATCAAATATGCTCTGAAAAGCTGTCTATAAATTATGTCTAAAAAATAGCCTTGGGCCTGGGGATTTAGCTCAGTGGTTCTGGCGCCTGCCTCGCAAGCCCAAGGTCCCAAGTTCGATCCCCGGTACCCAAAAAAAAAGCTTTGACTAATTTACCTTCCTTTTAATACTATCTGAGATCCTAGGCAAAAAGAAAAATGGAAATATTAACTGGACAATAATATACTAGGACTTCCACTACTTACCATAGTTAAAAACATAAATAAGGTACTATTTTATCCCAATCAGTTTAGCAAAACCAGAGTCATTACAAAAAAACCCAAAAACAACTGTAAATAGAGCCTATAACAGTTTGTTAAAATTATATTAAATTCTGGCTGGGGATGGTGGTGCACGCCTATAATCCCAGCCCTCGGGAGGCTGAGGTAGGAGGATCACAGACAGTTACAAAATGGTGATGTATCATTTCATTTTAATTAATTAATTAGAGAAATTTTCCTTCATCTATTTGGTTTCTGAAGGGTACAGTTCATATGGACAAAAGCTACATATGAGATACAAAAAAAGAATTTGCTGACCAGGCTCACAATCAACTATTGTCATTATTTAAAGCTAACATGTGTTGCTAAGGAAAAAAGTAATGAGCTACACTAATCTTTCTAGACCTTCCCTCTAAATGTGGAGATTTCTTCTAAAGAATTTTCTTTTGGTACTTAAAAGTCTGTGGCTTTCAGCACTGTGAGTTCTTTTCTGTGAACGTAACACACAAGACACACACAAAAACTTAGAAAAGTCCTTCAACGTTATCTCTTGCTAAATTAGTACATTTGAAAGAATAAAAGCATTAAAACCATGTAATCCATGGCCTTTCTCCACTTTTTAAGAGGCTGAGAGGAAGTCCTACAACTCAATTAAATATACTTTGTACCTTTACTAAGAAAAGCTGATTAATACTCAACATAACCATCATACACCTACCATCACTTAAAAACTCGGTGAAAATACCCAGCAAGCCACACATACTCTGCCATATGGGTGAACTGGAAGCTTTCCAAAGATTTTCCTGGAAATCTTGCACTTTCTGTACTAATGTCATCGAAACTCTAATGCCTACCAACAAGTCATTCATCAACTGTGTTTGAACAATATGATTTCCAGCAAATTTTCTACAAAGAAGAAAAGACATTATTACAAAAAATATTTAAATAAAAGTTTTCATATCCCCAAGCCAGTTTATAACTGGTTTACCTTTAGGTAATATAAAATAGCACAAGTGTCTGGAAGGAAAACAGTACACATGGATAAGGCAGTAATGCCATAATGCAAACAGGAGAATTAGGTAAACATACACACAGTGGATGCCAAAAACCAAGACTTCAGCTTCTTGCCCTCAGCAATGAGAATATGAAGACAATGGTTTGGATTCTTCCATGACAAATCCACCAGAGAACTAAAGATACTCACATAAAGGGGTCCCCCAAGAAAGAGACCAGCTAGATTAGCCCTAGAATAAAATGTGCAGTTATGGTTTAGATCTAGAATGTTCCCCAAAAGGCATGTCAAAGCTGGGGCCTTTGGAGGGTGACTGGATCATGGGGACCTGATACTCATCAGTAGACTGATTCATTGATGAGTTCATAGGTAAATGTGCTATTAGGAGGCAGGGCCTGGTTGGAAGTGGCATGACACTGGGGAGCATGCCTCTGGAAAGTAGTCTTCCCTTCACTCTCTGCTTCCTGGCTGCCATGGATTGAATAGCTTTCCCTCACCAAGCCTTTCTACCATTCTGTTTCACCTTGGAGCTACCTGACCATAAACTGAATCTCTGAAACCAAGAGTCAAATTGAACCTCTCCACTTTTAAGTTGTGGGTGTCAGGCACTGTGTTCCAGTGATGGGAAAGCTGACTAATACACTGCCCCATATGCAGGTATATTCAAATCTATTCTCTGTGCCATAGTCTTAAGTATACCCAGCCGAAGACCACTATGCTTCTGAGGAAAATTTCTAGCAGGAAATGTAGTGACCAAATCCACCACATGGAAAAAAAGCAACTTACAAGAAACAGAATCCATGTAAAGGTAAGAAAACTTTAAATGAATAAACAAAAATCAATTATCATTAATATCTTCAGGGAGACAGTAGGGGGAACTGCACCCATGAACGAAGGAACACTCAAAGTGGGGGAAAGAGCTCTTCCTTTCTCACTAATTCTCACCATAATTTACTTGACCTATTAAAAATAGCAAATATTTATTAATATTAATTTAAAAGGGTAGAAACTGCACAGAAAACAGCACAATCTGAGATCTTTTTGAGAATTTGCTTTGTACAGAGACAAGGTACAACTGCAGGTGTGCACTTCCACACAAGAAGCATGCAAATATACAGCACTTGCCTATTTTCTTCCAAGATTTCAGTTAAACTCTTCTGCAGAAAATGAAGCACTGAAAGAAAAAGAATACAATGACAAGTCAGAACTTAAAACTATGAGCTTTAATGATGATACAAGAAAATATTTTAAATCAGCTACCTAAAATGATTCCCATAACACACAACTGAAATTATAAGGAGGAACATGATGTACTTTAGCTATCTGCAGTATGATATCTATTGCCCAGAAAAGTAAGACCCAGGTCCAAGAGAACTCACACAGGCAGTCTTCTCAGAACAAAATAAAATAATAGGACTTACCATTTTTAAGCAGATTATTAACACTTGCTCTGCCTATAAGGGAAAAAAAAAAATACTGGTAAGGAGGTTCACCAAAATAAACATGACTTAACAAAAATGATGTAATGACAGGTGTCAGAAAACATACTAGAAAAGAGTTGGCTTACCCAAGTTAAAATTCTCCATGCAGGAAGATATATTGTCGACTACTTTCCTATAAGAGTACAGATCAGTAGTGTTCAATTCTTCTTCAAGATGAGAAGTAAAACTGTGTATAGCCTCAGTTTGAAAAAATTCAGGTAAGCCATTCAGTGAACTTGAAAAAGAATGAAATATTAAAAACCTAAAAACTCTGTACCACCAGGATATGTGAGAAAGGAGAATCATATAAATTTATGAATACTGAATTAAATCTTCAAAACTACAACTTCACGCCACCATCATGGGAATTCCTGGTCTGTCATTTCTCATCTGGTCTTCCTGGTTCAACCTTGTTTCCCTCTTAGTCCCCAGTCTATACTTAACAGAGCAGTCTGAGTGATAATACTACTAAAACACTATGTCACAGTCGTCCCTCAGTGTCCAAGGGAGACTGATTCCAGAAACCCCACAAATACCAAAACCCGACGACAGTCAAGTCTCCTATTACAACCTGTGCACATCCTCCTGTATCCTTTAGATCGTCTTTAGATTACTCTCAATATCTCCTATAACATAAATACAATGTAAACACTGAACTGTTTAGGGAATAACAACAAGGAAAACAAGTCTGTATGTAATCAGTTTAGATACAATTTTTCAAATATTTTTGATCCATGGTTGGGTAAATGCAGAACCCATGGATATGGAAGGCCAATCATCTGCCTAAAAGCCACCAACAACTTTAATCTAAGTGCATACCAACAAATGCAGTTTACAATGACTTTAAGACCCCGTGCAATCTGCCCCTCATTAGTTCTGACCTTGTTCACTTAACTCTAATTATATGGCCTTCCTGTGTCCTACAACATGCCAAAGTCTTTGCCCTTAATGAGAGTATTTCCTTTACTCAGAACACTTCCCTTAAATATCCAATAATCATTGCCTCAAACCTTGTGTGCCTCAAACACAGCTCTCATATCAGCTGATATCCTATACATGCTGCTTACTTATTTTGTCTATTTCCTATCTTCCCCTTGGAATGTAACCCCACTCTAGACTGCTTTATTCGTTATATCCCCAATTCCTATAAGAATTGAAAACAGTGGGCAGTCAATAAAAATTTACTAAATGGATAAATTACTTATACAGATTTTACCTCAATTAATCTAAACCAAAATTGATAGTCTCTTTAAAAATTTGAACAGTTTAAAGCTTTTCTGGAAAAAAATTCAAAAACTAGAATATTCTGAAAAAGAAGAGTCAGTAGAGAGATAACTTAGTCCATTAAATAATTAAACCATATTATCAGATGATAGTGTGATGTTCATATATGAACAAGTCTAAAATAATCCATTCCATGTTTACATAGGAACAAATAACATGGGTGACATTATAAATATGTGGGGAAAGATGGACTATCAACACTTTGGGATTAAGTGACTCCCGTATCTCTACTACACTACACTCAAAACTTAATTCCAGATGTATTTACAAGTCCAACAACAACAAAATTATAAGACAAGCAAATAGTTTTAAATAATCTTGCATTAAAGAAAACATACCAAAGCATGAAATTTCAGAAATCTATACAAAGAAAAGTATCAGCAGAGTTGATAACAAAAGTCTATTTTACTAAGACAAGACACCATCAAGATAGTTTAAAGTAAGAAAATAAAGGAATATTTTTACATACAATCTATACACAACTCATAAATCTTATAATTCAACCAAACATTCTAACAAGAATATTGGCTGGGGATTTAGCTCAGTGGTTTCACTGCTTGCTGCACAAGTGCAAGGATCTGAGTTCGATCCCTGGTACCAAAAAAAAAAAAAAAAAGAATATATACAAAGGGTATGTAATGATTAGGATAGTCAAACTCCACAAATTAAAAATGTTCACTCTTACTAGTAATCTGGGAAGTGCAAATTATAACAAGATAGCATTTCACATCTTTAGACTCTAAAACATTGAAAGACATATTAGCTGGGTATGGTGGCACATGCCTACAATGTCAGCACTGGGAGACACTGAGGCAGGAGGAAGGCAAGTTTAAGCCCAACATAGCAAGACCCTGTCTCAAAAATAAAAAGGCCTGGGGATGTGGGTGAGTGTGAAGGCCCTAGGTTCAATCCCAGTACCACAAAAAAGGAAGGAAGGGAGGGAGGATGGGAAAAAGGAAGGAATTTTCCAGTGCTAGAAAGATCTAAAAAAAACAGCATAGTATACAGCTAGTAGAACTGTAAACTGGAATAGCTTTTGGGGAATACAATTTAACAATATGTACAAAAAAATGTAATAAGTATGACTTTTGGCCCTACTTCTATGAATTCTCTCAGATAAATACACACATACAATTATACAAATAATTAAGATAACCACTGCAGCACTGTTAAAATACAGAACACTTGAAAACACCTGTCGATGGGAAAATGATTAAATAAGCCATTTAAGACATACCATGATACGTATTTTGGTATACCCATAATATGGAATATCGACACCTCTTAGAAAAGACTACTGGTGGAAATGTAAAATGCTGCATTATGGAAAACAGTATAGCAGTTCTTTAAAAAATTACAAATACAATTACCACATGATCCAGTAATCCCATTTCTGTACATATACCCAAAGAAATGAAAGCATGATTTCAAAGAAATTTTTTGCACACGTTTATGATAACATTAATCACAATAGCCAAGAGTTAGAAGCAACCCAAGTGTCCCTCAATGAAGAATGAAAAAAAAGTGATATACAGACATACAATGGAATAGTACTTAGCCTTATAAAGGAAGGAAATTCTGTCATATGCTAGAACACGGAAGAATCATAAAGACATTATATGTAATGGAATAAGTCAGTCACATAAAGATAAATATTCCACGTATATTACTAAAGTAACCAATTTTTGTATTTTTATTTTTTCCAGGTACTGGGGATTGAACTCAGGGCCTTCACACTGAGCTACATCAGTTTTTTTTTGGAGACAGGGTCTCACTAAGACACTAAATTGCCTCAGCTGGGCGCAAACTGTGATCCTCCTACCTCAGCTTCCTGAGTGCTAGGATTATAGACATGCAACAGAAAACAAAATGGTGGTTGCCAGGCACTAGGGAAGGAAAAAATGGGGAGTTGTTTAATAAGTGTAGAGTTTCAGTTCTGCAAGATGAAAAGGCCTGGAAACCCTCTGTACAATATAAATGCACTTAATACTACAGAACTATAAGCTTAAGAAGGAAAATTTTAAGTTTTATGGTTCTTGCTTCAATTTTTTAAAAGGACTATTAGATGAAACTATCTCTAAGACATTCTTTAGTCAAAAAAAAAAAAAAAAAACAAGCCATGGACCATTACGTAGAGTATGACCACATACATATTAAAAAATAAAAATAAAGACTAAAATACAACAAACTTATGCCAAGCCCAAAGAAGTCAAGAAGGCTAGATCCCAAAACATTAAGTGACAACCCTTTAAGGAAAATGAGAAAGGCCAGAAATTTTGAAATACACACCTCACTTTTTGGTATACTTCAATACTGTTTGAAATTTTTGTATCAACTATATATTCTTATATTACATGTGTCAGAACAACTGGCAGAAATAGAGGGAAAAAAATACCAAGATGATAGATTTAAACAAAAGGAAGTTAGCAAGCTATGGCCCACAAACCAAAGCCCATAGCCTATTTAAGGCCTGTGATCTAAGAAGGCTTTTTACATTTCTAAAGAAGCAGGATAGTGGGATGGATGCACAGATGGACACATAGGTAGATAAAGAGCAACAAAGAAATAGGAATGTAATTTTTAGGGATATATCTCAGTTTGGTTTTATCACAACAGGAAAGCATTGGTTAGTTTTTCTAATGCTCAACTTTCCTTCCTTGTTATCCTTACCTTGCCAATACTTTCTTCAAGGGATTCTTCAGACTCAAAGAATAATAAATGCCTGCTAAAATATCCAAACAGCTCTGAATAGCTGGATCACACACACCATTTGTATCTGCCTTCTCCAGTAAAGGCACAATCTAGAATTCAAAAATATTCAAAGTAATGTTTTTTAATATCAAGTACAGCCAAGTAACATGGTTACAAATCTCTTTTAAGTCTCAATTATACAGTGAAATGTTTTCCATACTACATCGTTAAGGATACTGATTTAAATGCCTATTTGAATATTTATTAACCTTTTTCATCCATGCCCCTACCTCTCTCCCTACCTTCCAGATTGATATCCACTGAGACTCACAGATCTATTATTAGCCTGAGGTAAAGAAAAATCTGTGACATTCTTCCATTCTTTTTTTTTTTTTGGTACCGGGGATCAAACTCAGGTCCTTCCACTTGCAAGGCAGGTGGTGAAACCACTCAGCTAAATCCCCGGCCCATGTGACAATTCTTTAAAAATCAGCTGTACATATAATTGCTTTTCCAAAAAAGTATTATGCAAGCTCAAATGGTAAATCCAAATATTTAAATACCAATAAGTAAAATCTTTATATTTTAAATTAACTTTTAAATTGCCTGCTGAAGTTGTGAAGCTTTAAGGTAATAGAAATAATTTTGAAAAATTTATCTCCACAAAAAAATATATGCATAATTATTTCCTATCCTATCAATTTACTGCTCTAATTATGGTGGAAGCCTGAATGAATATGGCTTTTATTGAGGCCTTAAATAAAAGGATATTATGCAGTGAACAGAAAGGAAAAACTTATTTTTTTGGTGATAAATTGATATTAAATTATTGACGCCAAAAATTGTCAGTTAATTTTACAAATCCACAATAACCTGACAATCTTCAAGATCTATCCATGAACAATTCAGCCTTACCTGTTTAACATAATGAATTTGCGACACTCCATCCTTGAGTTGTACACAATGTAACAACAAAGAAGCTAGATTCTTCCCTTCCACATCAGCAAAAGCTATATAACATACACATACACACACAGAAAAAAATTCCATGATTTAACAATATATAAAAGTTTAACTTTGTTATGTAGTCTACAAAATTTTTTAATTTATGAACCAAAACAGCAAGTAAAACAGTCTCAGATAGACATTCAGGAAAACCATTTGACATCCAAAACTGAATACAATAAATATCAAAAAATTAAATAGAACTTGAACATTGTGTGCTTTGGATACCAGAGATTAAAATACCCTGCTTGCACACTGGAAGAGAAATATCTTAAATGGGTAAAATCAGCAATCACCTACATCTCAAAGTTTCAAGGTCCTGATGATGAACAGTCAATGCAGCAACTTGCATTTCTCTCTTCTTCTTTAAACCCATTTTAAACTGAATTAACAGTAGTCTCTAAAAGAAAGAAGAGTTTAATTCACTGTCTACTGGAGGGTTTCTCAACCTCAACATTACTGACATTTTAGGCCAGATAATCCTTTATTGAGGGGTGCTGTCTGGTTCTCTGCAGGATGTTTATAGCCTCTCTGGCCACAGGAGCACTCTCCCCACAACAAGCTGTGACAACCAAAAATGTTTCCCAACAATGCCTTGTAGAACAAAAGTGCCCTAGGTTGAGAAACACTGATTTAAGGATTTGGGGTTTGAAAAACAACTTTTTGTAAGGTCTAGAAGAGTTATTGTTGTCTAAAGTTACTTTTATCTATTATGACACATCTTTGTATTTCAAAACACAAAAAACCTTCATCTTAGGAAAAACTAAAGAAATCAGCAGTTTTCAAAAAATAAATTAGGGGCCGGGGATTTAGCTCAGTGGTTCCACCATGGCCTGCCTCGCAAGTGCAAGGTCCCAAGTTCAATCCCCAGTGCCAAACAAATAAAAATAAAAATAAATAAATAAATAAATAAATAAATTGGGCCAAACAAATCTCAGTGGCTTGTCAGACTGACAGATCAGGAGGTGCTACTCTATCTTGATTTTAGCAAAGTATAAAGGAAACTTTTACATATTATCTTTGTGAGGTTGCTTGCAGTTAACAGATCAATGGCTTCATAATGGGCTAAAGAACCTTACTTAAAGCCTACACAGTAATTCCATGTCATCTGGAAGGAAGCCAATAGGGAAAAATCACAAGGCTTTCATTAAGCAGTTAGCATTTTTAGCAGTATTTACAATGTAAACATCAGAGCAAATAAAATGATGCATTGATAACACATAAAACTGGAAGGACAGGTTGAATGATGGAATCAGCTCAGCGAAGTATAATAAGCAAAATGAAGTCTACCAAGATGAAATAAAAATGTAAAACGTTACATTTAAAATAGAAACACACATATACACATAGACACAGAGAAATACAGGATAAGGTGCCAGAAGGTGAAACTTGACTTGAAACAGCTCGGTATGTCAGCCAACAGTACAACATGACTGCTAAAAGCCACATTAGAAGCTAGTTAGATCAAGAATGAGCATGATCCCTCAGTCGGGTGAGGTGAGGTGACATGTGAAGCATGGAAGATGAATACAAGAAAAGATGCACACTTGAAGGAGCCACAACAATGGACATTCCAAAGAACAACCAGATTTCTGAAGGGTCTGGAGAGTTACTCTTTCAGGAAACAGAACAGTTAACCAAAGTATTTGGCCTGAGACAGGACACGTTCCTTAAAACAGCTGCTGGGTTACTTTATAGAAAAGGCTTAGTCAGTGCAAACTTCAGGGTGATATATTTCAGCTCAAAATTAAGGAAGAACTCTATGGTCCAACTAAGGAATGAGCCACCTGTAAATTCTGTAAATACAGAATTTCCCAACATGGGAATATCCAAGCAGAACGTGACTGAACACAACACACATCTCCTGGACTCCTGATCCAGCCTGTAAATGCTCCCTTTATTTCTACCCTAGCCTCTGAAGAGTTCATTCTCTTCCATCTTTTCAATCTAAAAAATAGCAATAATATTTTTACTTCCTGTTTAAAACTTTCCAAGGGCTTCTACACTTACATAAAATCCAACATAGAGACTTTGGCCTTCAAAGCCCTAAATAATCTGGCCCTGGCTTCCTCTGCTATTCATCTCCATCTCCCAGCCTCCCACACATGAGCCACACTCCCAGCACTCAATCTACTCTTTACTACCTGAAGAACCTTTGCACTTTCTGATGCCCTTACTCCCATCTTACTGGGTTTGCACTTTCCAGTCTGCCTATGAATGCTCATTCCACCACATCTTTGCAAGGCTGACCCTTCTCATCATTCAGGTTTCTGCTTGAATACCATCTCCTAAGAGAAGCCTTTCATGACCACCACTCTGACACACACACACACCCCATCCCTTTATTTTCTTCAAGGGACTTTCACTACCTAAAATTATACTAATCTGTACTCATATACTTTCTCCTCCAGTAGTAAACTATAAAGACAGCAACTTTGCTTTGTTTGGTGTTTTAATTCTCAATTCCTGAACAGTGCCTGGCACATGGTAGGTGGTTAATAAATATTTGGTGACTAAACAAATGAACTAGCAAACATTTGCCAGAATGCTGTAGAAGGGATATACACCTTAAATGGTAAGAAGGTGGGAGGCGTGGTATCTAAAGTGCATTCTATAGCTAAGTGATAGGTTAGTCCTGACACTAAAGAATGTGTTGTCCATTTGGATATAAGAAATCTATACAGGGCCAGGGATATAGCTCAGTGGCCCAGCGCCTGCCTGACAGGTGCAAGGTCCTGAGTTTGATCCCCGGTACAAGAAAGAAAGACAGAAAGGAAAGGAAGGAAGGAAGGAAAGAAAGAAAGACAGACAGAAAGAAAGAGAAAGAAAGGAAGGAAGGGAAAGAAAGAGAGAGAGAGAGAAGGAAGGAAGGAAGGAAGGAAGGAAGGAAGGAAGGAAGGAAGGAAAAGAAATCAGTAGAGTAATGGCAAGTGAATAACACTTGACCAAAAATGGCAATCAAAACGGACGTAGCTAGAAAGTCACTGAGAGGGTATTAATTTGAAAAGTGATATGATTAGATTTAGAGAAATAATTAAGGTTCACTTCCAAGGAAAGTGACCAGTGCAGTGAAAAGGAACTGAGTTAGGTAACTGGGGAGACAATTCTCTGGTAAATAGTGCAAGAGAATATGTTTCTGCAACTCTTAGGACTAAACAAAAACAGAGTCGGAGATCATGCGTGCTCAATCTAAGCCTAAACGTGTGTCCTGTTGAACCGTTCCCCATAACTACCTCAAGTAAGGAAAATCCCGTCCCCCCTAATGTCCTGATTAAGCGGCCATAAGGTACCCAGCACATACTTTCTATTTGTGGGTCTCACATATTGCCTCCTCTGAACGCTGTTTCCCTCCCATCTACGCCTTTCTGAGTCCCACAAACATTCTCTGGGCGATTTCCAAGCACGTGGAGCCCAAAGAATGACAGGTGAAAAAAAAGTGGTTAAAGGGCAGTCTCCATGGAGACCTAAGCGACCGGAAATCAGTTTCAGTCCGCAAACGCGTTGCTAAAAGACCGGAAACTGGTGTGACTCTCCAGACAGCCCTGGCAAACCCGCCCTGGCGAGCAGCAGAGTCCCGCGCTATTGCGAGTCTGGAAGGCAAAGTGCCTGTAAACCAAACCTCGTGGCCGTAGGTGTCTTGCGTAGAGTCGCAGCTATCTGGACAAGTCCCGGAAGCTGGTATAATCTACGACGTCTGCACAGCTCCCAACGTGGTCTGTAGTTGACTACCGGGTCGGGGAGAAGGTAGGCGGGCCCGGGACCTGGAAGAGGATATTTCGCGAGAACAGCGAAACACAGTTCCTCCAATCAAGAGGCTGGCGACGTCGTGACGTCACTGGGGTGGGACGGTAGCGTGGGAGATTTGGTTGAATGGGCCTTCGAAGGTTGTGCAGTCCTTAGCTAAGGTGTCTGGGCTCCTGAGTCAGTGGGAGGTTTGTCCACCTCGTCCCCCTACTCCGGTCGGCAAAGGCTGTGGCCTCCTCACCCCTAGTTGCCTTGGAAGCCCCTTTCTCTCTGTTCCGACGTTCCACTCATTTGACCCATCTCCAAGACAGGTGCAAACTACGTTACATTCGGGCCCTGGGAACGGGAGAGATGGGGCAAGGTTTGAGCCGAAGCCAAGAGAGTTGAGGTGAAAATGTGAAGCGCTCGAATAAACTTAACGTATGCCAAAGTGCATTTATTCATTTACTAGCTAGTTAATGAGCTGGACGGGCAGAGTATTCTGTCGCTACCTTTGTCCGCTTTTTTTGTTTGCTTGTTTCGGTACCAGGGATCGAACTCGGGACCTTGCGCTTGCGAAGCAGATGGCGGCACCACAGAGCTAAATCCCCGGCCTCTATCGCTACCTTTGAAAGTTGCCCCTAAAGGCTATATATCGCATCTCTTATAAATTGTCACACCAATCCTTTAAAAATAAATGAAAACAGTGCTGAACATTGCACTAGGAGCTGGAACAGAGGACAAGATCGGGAAATCGGCATGATGTTCTCTTGAGGAGCATTGGTTGAAGAAATAAAAACATTCCAGGAGCCTAACTCTTTAGTCGGATTGGTGACTTTAGGCTTTAAATCATTACTTTTCTGAATGTTGTATCACCTTGCTCTATTTTTCTTTGTAGTTTTCCACATGTGTATGTTTCACTAATCAGAATCTTGTTTTGTATGACTGTGAACATTGTTTATGGGATTGTATATGTATTCTCCAGTAATATACTGCTTTCAGCTTTGCTTTGGGGACCACATAAAAGCAGGTGGTTGTAGTTGTTTTGTTCACTGTTACATAGTAGTCCACTCCTTAATATACTGTACTAGATTTACATATCCAATCTAGTACCCCTGGACATTTGGATTATTTCCAGCTTTTACTCTAACAATGCTGCTGCGAATTATTTTATTCGTGGCAACTAGTGAGTATGTTCAGAACTTCCTCTATAGTAATTATTTCCTAATATTTTTGTGACTGAGACTAATCATAAGGATATTGTACTTTGGAACCAAGAACATATAAGTACTCACACATATTTTACTGGAACAGTTTCTTGCAATCTTTGTAACTCTTCAGAAGCTCTAAGATTTTTTTCTTTTTAATTATGATAATATGTACATAACAAACTCATTTTAACAGTTTTAAGTGTTTTTTAATATGTGTTACTTATATCCTACTGAGATAATTACATAACCCTCAATGGATTCCAGTTGTTGTTGTTTTTTCCCCCACTCTCACCAAACTAGAAAGTAAGGAGCAGACATTGTGACTCTTCACCCCACACAATAGATGTCCTAGGAGAAAACGCAATAATGTTAAGAGATAATGACTACTATGAAAAAATACCGGGAAACAAAAGACAAGAGTGTGGGGGAGATTTGTTGCCACTTTAAATAGGATAGTCAAGTAGGCATCACTGAGTGAAAATCTACAAGAACTGCAGATTCCTAAGGGAGGGAAAAGCTTTCCATACAGAGAGAACACCCAGGAAAAGTCCTGGGGCAGGATCTCGCCTACTGAACAAGCAGTAAGGAGGCCAGGAGGGCTTAAGCCAAGTGAGCAAAAGGATAAATAGTAAAAAATGAGATAAGGGGGTTCAGATAATGTAAGGCCTTGAGATTACTGTAAGGACTTTGACTTTCACCATTAAATGAAATAAGGAGTGGTTTTGAGCAGAGAGGAAACAGGATCTAACCTACTTTTCAAACAAATTGCTGGAGCTTCTTTTTTTTTGTACAGAGGATCAAACTCAGGACCTTGCGCTTGGGAGGCAGGCGGTGACGCTGAGCTAAAGCCCTGGCTGGAGCTTTTGTGGGAAGAGACTTAATGGGTGTAAGAAAACCCCGTTGAGGAAATTCATGGAAACAACACAGGCAGGATACTGATATCTCAGATTGTGTAGTCAGCATGGAGAATGTAAGAAATGTACAGATTCTGGATCCACAGTTAATAGGATTCTGAAGGATGGGATAGGGTATGAGGAAAAGAAAAGTCCAAGATGGCTCCAAGATGTCTGGCCTGAGCAACTGTAAGGATGAAGTTGCCATCCGTGGAGTGATAAAGTTGACTCTGAGCAGATTTGGATTGAACAGAGGAGTTGGCAAGAACAAGTAGAGCCAGCCTCCTGTACCTGCAGATTCTGCATCCACAAATTCAACCAACTATAAATTCAGAACATATGGTGGGGGAGGCGTCTCTGTAATAAACATATGCAGACTTTTTCTCCTTATCTCTAACAACACAGTATAACAATTATTTGTGCCAGGCATTGTGGCACACACCTGTGAGTGATCCCAGCACTTGGGAGGCTGATGCAGGAGGATCACTATGAGTTCAAGGCCAGCCTGAGCTACACAGAAAGACCCTCTCTCAAACAAACAAACACAATTATCTGCATACCATTTACATTGTATTGGGTATTATAAGTAATCTAAAGATGATTCAAACTACACAGGATGATGCACATAATTTATATACTATGCTGTTTTCTAGAAAGGATTTGACCATTTTCAGGTCTTGGTACCCTCTTGGCAGAAAGAGGTACTGGGATCAATTCCCATGGATACTGAAGGATGATTGTAGAAGCAACTCTCAGTACTTGTAGTACACAGAGGGGCAAATCATTGGAGTAATAGCTCTTAGAGATAGAGAAGGAAAGAGAAGGCTTGGTTCTAAGGTTGAAACAGTAACATATTTGGAGAAAATATTCTTTTATTTTTGCTAGGCACCTAGTGGTACGTTGGATTTGAAACTACTTTACTTTTTTTTTTTTTTTCCTCTGCTGGGAATCAAACCCAAGGCTTCCAAAATGCTAAGCAAGCACTCTACCTCTGAGCTACTGAAACTACTTTAAATTCACTGCTTGAGGTTTCTCAGAACACAGTAACTTGAATTTGAACCACAGACTTTTAAAAAGTAGCTATATATTTTATTTGTAAAAATGTACCCGGAAAGAATTTTAAAGGATTAGTAATCATTAGTGTATATAAAAGTGAAAATCAAAATGCATTTAAATAGCATAGTAAAAGTGAACTAAAATAATGAAAAGGTAATCCATGTGTCCCTGTTCTGTTCAATATAGCTTAGCATTGTAAACATGCATCTGTTAATATTTTCCATTCAATTATAGAAAGGAACTTTTATAAGTATTTAATAACATTTTCTTATGTAATTTTAAATTTTTTACATTAGAAGAACATTTGAATAATTAAAATTTAGCCCTTTAAGACCACAAAGAAGACCAATTTCTCACACATTTACCACCTATTCTTTTTTTTTTTTTGGTTCCGGGGATCGAACTCAGGACCTTGTTCTTGCAAGGCAGGCATTGGAACCACTGAGCTAAAACTACAGCCCATTACAACCTATTCTTGAAGATCTCCATGCCAGTTCAAAACTTCAGAAGCAGTACAACTGACCAATCAAAGCTTCACAGTTGTTTCCCTTGCAAATATTGTTTTTCCTACAAAAAAGCATAATAAGGTCTTGCAGTTTCCTGGTCACCACTACATTCCTCAAAGTTATAATTTATAATAATCAACTAGCAATGCATAGTGATTTATATAAGTAAGGAATACCTATAAAAAGCCTCGTTTAATAATTTTAGGTCTACAATGAAATCCAAAATACTATGCTAGAGCTATGAATATGAATATTTTGTTATTTTAAATATAACAACCTATTTTATTATTTGTTAATATACATTTTTTCCTACATCAATGAAAAAAACCGAAGTACCTCTATTATTTATCTTTTATCTACCTGGTTTAAAAGACAAGGTTTATTTTCTCAGTTTCTATGGGTCAGAAATTCAGCAGCAACATGGCTAGGTGCTTCTAGCTAGGGAGTTTCTCATGAGGTTGCAGTTAAGATATTGACTATACGAGGTGCAGTGGCACACATCTATAATCTCAGCTATGTGGGAAGCTGAGGCAGGAGGATTCCAAGTTCAAGGCCAGCCTGGGCAGTTTAACAGGACCTTGTCTCAAAAGAAAATACAAAGAGCTAGGGATGCAGCTCAGCACTCTAGGTCCAATCCCCAGAACCACTCACACACGCAAAAGTGCTGGCTGGGACCACAGTCCTCTGAAGGCTTGGATGGCAGAAAGAGATGCTTCAGAGATGACTCACTCATTGGTGCTAGTCACTTACAGGTCTTAGTTCCTTCCTACACAGGTCACTCAGATTGCTTGAGCAATCTTAAAACCTAGGGGCTGGCCTTTCCATGAATGAGCAAGAATCAGCAGGTTAGAAGCTGCAGTGACTTTTACGGCCAATCACATCCTATTGATTATAAGGATCATTTATAACCAGTATAAAAGGTCTCTCATTGCTGAGACAAAATACCCGACACCCAAAGTAAAAGGAGGAAACGTTTATTTGGCTTGCAGTTCATAGAGGTTTTAGTCCATAGTCAGCTGGTTCCAAGGCAGGGTAACATGACAGAGGGAATCACAGAGGAGAAACGGTTCATGGCAAAGCAGGGCAGGCAGAAGGCACCAAGCAACAAGCGACCACACACTAGCCCTCTTTCTGTCCCTTATATTTTTATACACCCTGCCCAGAACTATACCAAAACAATCAGTGCAGTAATTTAGCAATCACATACCCTTAATCCCAGCATCACACACTCTAGATCCATCCACCCCTGAAAAAACTCCACCTATGACTGCATGAGGCTGTGGGGGAACATCTAGACATAAGCCATAGCAAAAGATCTGCACAAAGATTTCAACACTAGGAGGCTAGCATCATCATAGGGCCATTTTGGAGGCTGGCTAC